AAAAATAAGTGTTCGATTCCCACAGTAGCGAATACTCTGTATGTTGTGGAGCGCACAGTTTGTTGTGCTAGTGCACCGCACCGCCGGCCGCCTCGCAATGGTGCAAAGGAGTCATTGCCCCTGCCTGGGTGAGGCCTAAGCCCCACATTACACGCACATAGAGAAGCACACGGCGCATTTGAAAATATATTAATATTTTTCACGGCACATCTATGGGAAGGAGCACCACCCGCGTATGCATGTTGGCAAAGCAACGGCCCCACAACGGCGGTGCTAAAAAAAAAAAAAAAAACGCATCCAGAAACAGAGGAAAAAAGAAGAAGAGTGTGGAACACCCACAAGAAATGATGGATAGCCCACTTAAAAGCGGCAGCAAAGAAAAGGAAAAAAACAGCAGCAGTAGTAGTACTGGTGGTGACCATCATTTCCTTTTTTCTTCCCTTCACTCGCTAATGACCCAAACACGTGGGGTTCAAAAGTCCTTTTCACACAAAATTGTGCGGCAGTTAGCCTCTCTCCAACCAGCCGCCTCAATACATCCAAAAGAGCACACAAGAAAACCACAAATAGCCATGGGGAAAAAAATAGAGAAAAACAATAAAAGATCCCACGGCATTAGTGCGGAGGCGGAACGACACGCTTTTCGCACAAGTAGTCGTAAATTCGGCCAGAGCAAAAGAGATTCAGGCCCGAGCAAGCCCGGACCTCATATGCGGTTATTGTGCTCCTTTGAGACTTTTCCGCCAGCTCCTGTTTCACCCGAAGGAAGAGGGCTGGCGGAATGTGATCCTCGCCGCAAAGAGTTGCTGCATCGGGGGCCAAAGAAACAAATCCTCGCATATTGCGGATGTCAAGTGGGCCACACCACCGCATTTCCACGTCACTATCGCTCGGCTGCACACGTGCGTCTCTTCACGTACCCCGTCGTTCCTCAAGAAGCCTTTCCGCAGGAGTCCTCAAATGCAGTGGACGCTTGAGAGCAACAAGCCAGGCCTCGCAATCGCTGCCAGCCTCACAAACCACCTCCAGTGATTTCCCACCGCGAAGCAAAAGTGCGAATGCGCGGTGGTTGTTTGTTCCAAGGCTGAACAAAGTGGTGTTTTGCGTAAGATCATGGCGGTGCGTCCCATTGTCAGAAACTGCCTCCTGGCGTGTCTTTGCCAGCTGTGCCTCGCCGCTGTAGTTCACAAATGAGGTTGTGGACAGGCCGATGAGAACTTTTTCGATGTCACGTATCCACATGGTGACTGGAGGCCGTTTGCGATTTAACGGGAATCCCTGATGGTCCAGATCACAGGAATGAATACGTTTGCAGTCCTCCAAGAGAAAATATAGGCGTCTGCAAGCATTGCCCTTGCTCGGTATCTTTGTTATGCGGACCCCGTTGCGTAAGTAATTCAGCACCTGATCCACAACAGAATTGAGGTGGTGTTCCGTTGCCTCGGCATCATGCAGTTTTCCATTTTTCTTTGCCACGTAGTCATCAAGCATACGCTGTCGATACACCTCGAGCCCTCGTCCCAGCCTCTCCTCGCGGGCCTTTTCCTCTTCAGCGCTGGCCAAGTATGTCTGCTCCTCTTGCGCGAAGACCTCGTCAAACTGGCGTCGAATGATGTCCGTCTCCTCCGGACTAACAGGAATGTCCTCAAGGGAAATGAGCTTCGGCAAATACCCCTCGATCATTTTGACGTCGGCTGCAAGAGCCCTCTCGGCGGCGTCCTCCTTGGCTGTCGCCTGCTCACGCTTCTTCTTCCGCTCCTCGGCCAAGGGACGCACCTCTTCCGGGAATTTTGCATTCATTTCCTTAATCTGATGGATCCACTGCCTTCGCTGGCGACACCGCTCCTCCCGGACGGTCTTTCACACCGCCTCAATAGAATGCCGCTCCCGCATGACGGTCTCTCGCCCCCTCGCCCTGTCAAGTTGAACCATCTCGAGCTGCTGCTCCTTCGTCTCAATGGCGCTCTGCCGTAGGCCGAGTTCTTGCTCCGGCTGCTGCATCGCCTGCCGCAACCTCTCCGAGGCACTCTCCTCGTCCTGTTTCCTCGTTCGGATCTTCTCCACCGTATGCTCGCACTCCCAATTGCGGCTTTCGCGGTCGGCCTGCAGAGCACTGCTCTCCCGCTTTTTCGCCTCCAGAGCCCTCTTAATTTCATCCAACGTGGCCCCATCTCTCCGCTCAAGCTCTTTGATCATCTTTTCCGCCTCATGCTTGGAGCGCCCGCAAAACACACTCAGCTGCCATTTCCGCGCCTCCTCACGGTTGCTCTCAATGGCGTTGACGCGCTTCATCCCTTACCCCTTTATGCCTGAAATGGACGTGTTGGATTCATAGCCACTATGCCTGTAGTCGTACACGGCCCGGGCAGTCATGAGTTCATCCCGCAACTTCATGATGTCCTGATCAAGACGCCACTTGTCAACGGCAAGATCCCTTGTGGTGGATCCGATTCCGGTCGAGACAATGGAACGATTCCTCCGCCCACACGGCATCCGAAAAGGCGTGAGCCAATAAAACCGACTCGGTAGAACCATTGAGGCTATTGTTGCGGTTGCCTTTTTCCGTGTTGTACGCTCGGCGCAACAACTGACTGAGTTCTGACATGCCGAAGGGAATGCACAGACGACGGCGGCGAATGCCGGAGACAATTCCTGCTGCCGACACCAGTGCTCGTTGGGCCCCCTTCGTGGTGCGGCCGCGCGGTGGCATCAATGCCACACAAGACGAGCCGTTCGGCATCTCCCAAGGCGACAAATGTCAGGGAGTTTGCATCCATGTAATCTGCAAACTCCGCCTCACCATCATCGTGGTAAAGCTGAAAAACGACGGTGTCGGGCAAATAAGAAGGCATTGCCTCCAGCTCAGGCATTGGCTGCTTTTCACACAGCACGGGGAAAAAGTATTTCTCATAGTTTTTGACAATAGTGTCCATCGCCGCTCGAACTTCGCCGGCCAATGAGACACAAATTCGTGCCACCATTCGCACACGAGGTCCCTCCTTTACGGAGCCCACAATAACGCCGAGCTCGTTGTCGGCGTCAAGAAGGTCTGCGCGGTGCTCTGTTGACCCAATGGCGTAGCACGAGAGGGCAAAAATGCCCTTTTTGGCGCCCAGCCGAATAAATTCAGTGATAACTCAAGCAGCATATCCTTCTCCAGCTGCAGAGCCGTAAATGAGCTGTCGCTTTGGTGATGAGCACACGCCGTAGCTGAAGGCCACCATGTTCTGGCGTTCCTGAGTAAAGTTGGGGGCGGCAGTGGCACACAATTTTCGGAAGAGTGTACTCGCGTCCGGCCCGTCCAACGCCACATCGACGTCAAACAAGGCCTCAGCAACCGCAAATCCGGCATCCCTCAGGGGCTGGGGGCAATTGAACTGCGCCGTGTTGCCGTCCACCCGCATTGTCGCGGGGAGCTGCGAGGACGGCGTCGTGGTTTGGTGGGAGCAGAAACGGCTTTCGCCTCCATTGGGAGAATATCACATTGAATGCTGCGCTGTGCGTTTGTTGCATGCACAGAAAAAAGAGCCAAAGACAGAAAGAAAAGAAAAGAGGAGAGGGAAACAACACTGAATAATCTTCTGGGCCACTGACCGGATCCTGAAATCATCTCAAGAAACCAAACAAGAAGGGGAAAAGGAGAGGCAATGAGTTCGCCGTATTGTTTTCCTCCGATTAAACATATATATTCTTTTGGCCGTTCAATTGACCTTTTGAACTCAGGTAGGATCAAAAATATTATTACCTACGAAGTGGCAGGCTTTGGGGTCCTCCGAACACAAGATCCCGCCGCTCCGCTTCGCAAGTTCCACCCCTTTCGCCAAGTCCTGAAGTGTAAAACACGACCGCGCGTTATGCCGTCTGCGGGGTTGTCTGCTGACCGTGCGTAAGCAAAGGATGCCTGTATTCCGCGAGAGTCCAAAAACTCATATATTCGTTGCAGCTACCACGTCATGGCGTGTGTTTCTGAGCTGCATTTATTCGCCGCTCCTTGCAGCGAAGTGTTGTCCACCCAAATGTCCATGGTGAATAGCAAGATGGCGGGAAAGGCCGATAAGGCTAAGCATGCCACGCGTGTCTCGGCCTGCATGATAAGAAAACACTTCCTCTCCCGCTCCCTTCCGGCAATTTTTACGTCGCCAGAGCCTGGAATGAAAACAGCTCCGCTTCCATGGAGCGATGCATCCGTGATGTTGGCGGCCGATGCCTTTTCCGTGGGATTGATGATTCGCTAACGATTATATTCTCGATGATGTGTCGCAATCGCTCGCCCAAACCAACCGCTGACGGCGGAACCTTCCGCCGGGGATTTCTCCTGCACAATCCCCTGGTTATGTGCGGATAATCGGCGTCGCAAACCGGCGGTTCTCTCCTCCACAAACAAAAAGGCGCTATCCATCCGCCTTTTGTTGCAGACGAAGCGTCCCCGATTATTCCTGCTTCCTTCAATAATCGCGCGTCATAGACTGGAGTCCTCCGTGAGCTTCCACCCGATGTGAAGGAGGACGGAGGAAAATGGGACCGCCCGACGCGTCCTTGTCGCGCGTCTTGTAATGGTAGCAGCATGATTGTGATGAAAATCAGAGGAAAAACGCACCTCTGCTTTCAACCAGGGTTCCTGCCCTTCCGCAGCTTCTCCCTTCAAATCAATGCGACCAGCCAAAACACCTGGGTCAGCATTGTGGTTTAGTTCCCGGAACATCGAACTGTGTTCTGGGGAAGGTCGAACGGGTCGACGTGCTTCGCCAGCTGCAAGATCACGTGTGGGTCCAAATTGTATGTATCCACGATTTGAGCAGCGTGCCGCAACGCACAGCGCTTTATGGAATGAGCCGTGGCATTCAAGAAGCCAAAGCTCGTTCGACTTGGGCAGCCGTCAGATTCGTGAGCATTTCGTTTTCTTGAAGTGTCCCGCATAACGTTATAATGTCGAACGCGTCCTGCCCTCGTATCCTGACGAACCGCAAGAAGCAGTGGGGATCCACCCTCGCCGTCTCGGCGCCACGGACCAATCCAAAAACTAAGCTCCCATCCGCCTCCAGTTTAAAATTGTTGGGAGTGAAGACCGCAATCTCGGACCAACGACTCGCCGTTATCCACGCAAGTCGGAAAACAACACGTTCCCTCCAATCGGTCCGGCTGCGGATAACTTGATTCATCTCTTCCTCTGTCACGGGGCGCGCCTGCTTCGTCTCCGATCGCGCCGCAACTTTTTTAACCCTCAAAATCGCCATGCCCAGCGGGGTTCGATTCATTTGCAACATGGACCGCAGATTCCTGGCGTGCTGCGGTCAGGTCGATGGCGCCACGTCTAACAGTGCCATCAAAAAGGCCGCACGGCTCTCCGCGTTCATCGGCTGTTCGTGCGTGCGGCAAAAAGGTCGTAAATTGCCCAGCTAGAGACATTCTCTGCTCCCACGTTGACGGCGTCCACATTTCTCGAGCCACCTCGTTCGCCCTCCTCACGCAGCTGGCCCAAAGCGGAGACGTCGGTGGCTCGTAACACAGTCGAGCGTCGTTGGCGGATAAGTTCCACTGCCCTTTTCGACGATTGTGTCGGGCAATTCAAAACATCGCGCGGGACATCGGCGGCGCGGTGCGACGCCTGTGGGAATTGGTGGGAGGTGGTGGAATGAATGGGGCTGCCGTCTTCCGCTCCCATAAGCGGCGTGCGGCGGCCCCTCTGCCGTTTTTGAAGGCCGTCTGCGCTGCAAGCAATTTCCTCTGGTCGTGCTGCGTACGTTGCACGTGAATGCGTCGCGTCCACAAATACGACACAATCGGCATCGCAACGATCGTTGCTGTTGCGTACGTAGACGGGCGCGCAGTTCGGAAATCGGGACGCTGGACTCAGTAGTCATCGTGATATGCAACTGGAAGGTCTGCAGTACGGCACTCAACAAATCAATGAAACGATCGGCAGGATCCCGTTCTGTCTCCAACGCGCGCCTGCACGATACCAAACCGTCAAAGACTGCCTGAAACTGAGCGTCCGCCTGGTGCCAATACTTATAACTGTATGCGCTCCGGAGATTAACGACGACTTCGGAGATGCCCTCATTCCATGCACGCGGAGCCCAGGTGGTGACGTCCAGTGCAAGAAAATGCAGCACCTGACCTTCTGAACCGGAATCCTCTTCCAAGGGGACGATGGGGAGGCAACGGCAACAAAAAAGAAAAATGTAGTTTCCCGAATTGCTCTGAGAATTCTGTGTGTTGATCCGCCGTCTCTCCCCCGCGAGATTGGTTGGGGAAACGCGGATGCTGACACGCCCCAGGCCATCAAACGATGCGATTGATTTGACTGTGTATTTGTGCCATCGCCGTGCATGCGTGGGGGCCATCTGGCGGCCCTCTCCGAGAGGTGGGCGCCTCTTGTTGACACAGCGTCTCCGCCTTACGCAAAAAGACCACCAGCCACCGAAATGTTAGTTTCACGTGCCGAGCAGTAGTTGAGCGCCTCTTCCGTCTGAAAGTAAATCTGAGCAGTCCAATTCCGTACGTCCGCAACGGCGTGGGTGTAGTCCGAGTTTAATATCTGCCTTTCCGCAATGACGAGCCCTTGCTTGCCCCCCAACTCCCGGGCCGCCCCCACACGATGGGCAGGAGTACTTGAGCATCGAAATTTGGTACTTGAAACGCCCAACGATTCGAAAAGTGTCCCGCAACGGCCGAGCCCTCCAATTGCTTGGCGATCTTTGCTGAAATCAATCGCAAACATGTCATGGTTGCAGCGACGGTTACCACCGCATCCAACGGCCCGTGTTCAGCAATGAAGGTAAGCTGCACCTGGGCATCACCATGCTGGCGTACCAAGTCCAACATACGGGCACCGATGTCGTTGCACTCCGTCGCCGTGTAAAAAAACCACTGCCATAACTTGACATCAACATGCAGGAATCCGGTACGGCTGTGAAACAAGAAACAAAAAATAAAGAAAAGATAAGAAAAAAGCAATTTCGTCGCACAGCTGCCGGCTCCCTGACTCCCTCAATCGCGGTCCTCCAAAAGACCGTACGATAAAAGAGAAAGAAATCCCGCAGAGGTATCTCCGCTGCATCGATATATAAATTTGTTTGGGCAGCCAGCCATCCTCGCAGGCATTCTTCTCACAAACTCCCATAAAAATAAAGGGAAATTGTGCGGCCCCCACATCCCGCAAAGGCCTCCAGGGGCGACGGAGCCTTCACAGAAGTAAAAAATAAAATAAAATGAAAAAAGAATGCAGTGGTGCGACACTGTTGACCACAACCATTCTATGAAAAAATATTCGTCTCAGCCTCTGGCCGAATTCTGAAATTATCCAAAAAGGACAAGGAAAAAAAGGCGGTAAATGGAGAGGCAATGAGCTCGCCGTAATGTTTTCCCCAAAGTATATACACATTCTGTCAATCACTGCCGTGGACTGCTGCGCACAGTTACAAATAGAAACACTTATCCCCTGCGAAGCGGCAGGCCTTTGGGGTCCTCCAACCACTAGACCCCGCCGCGTGGTGGGAATCAAGGGGGTGGGTGGGATGGCAAAATAAAATAAAAATTATCTGGCCTCTATCGGCTCCCTGCCCCTACAAAGTCGCGTTCTTCCCAAAAGATTCATACGGTAGAAAGTATCATAAAGAATGCATTCATTTATCAGGATATACACATACATTAATTAAGTTAGCCAGCTACCCCGCGATCATTCTTTTCACAAGCTCCTAAATTTCACTAAAAAAACAAAACGCCGCTTTAATTCCCTAATTTGTGCTTGTACCTTGTTGGTCGTTTTCCACGCTGGAAACTCTTTGTTTGATGTCATCGGCTGATACTCCTACTCGGTACTGATACACCTTTTTCTTCCAAAACTCCGCAATTTCTTTTTCAGCGTTGGTTTCATTATTGGGATTGGCGGGACCACATCTCTGCCAGTCAGTTAGCGGCTTGTTGTCTTTGTGCTGCACATAAACAATTTCCCACGACATGTCTCGGGATAATTCCTCCCAATCATTAAAATATGCCGCCAGCTGTTCAGTGAACAACTTCACAGTACTGGTTAGGGTGTGGTGCTCACTTGCCGTAGTGATCTGCAGCCCAACCATTATCTTCGGGTTTGAGTCCACAAAGAAAAAGCCGTCCAACAGCGGAAAGTTTTTGGCCGCCGGTCGATACAGCACCCAGTACTCTATGGCAATCCGATTAGAAGGGTTCTCTGGTGGCTCCTCTTTCCTGGTTAATGTTTTGTTCGAATACCTTAACAGCGCACATTCTTGTGGCTCAGGTCGGCCTGTTAGCTTCAGTTCATTGATTTTAAGTCTTATCGCACGCAAGAAATCCTCATTCAAAAATGCGGATACGGCACACTTTTCAAGAAGATAAGGTATGACATAATCCCATATACTCAGCACAAGAAAAATAAAATCGAACTGCCTCATTTCACTTTCCAACTTGGAGAATATTTTACTTTCAAAATGGTGAGATATCGGTACATTCAAAGGCCATTCAATGTTGTCTCGTCGTACTCGGACAACCTTCACAAGCTTGTGAGACACTTCACTGTCATTAAACGCATTAAGCTCTCCAATATTAGCGTAATGCTCGGCTTTCGAAGCGGTGATCTTATTCACGGCAGATTCACCTTCGGAGAAGCGGTCATTATATGCCGTTTTATTAAGTATGAAGCGGAGAATCGGTCCCACTTTTTCCATTTGTTCTTTGACCTCCTTCCAGTATTCCGCTTGTTCCTGCGGGGACCGATTGTGCTTCATCCATGCACATATTGCCCTCACATCGCTCTCTTCAGGACAATTAATTACGATTCGCGCCGCGTACCTGCGACTCGCCCACCATTCGAAGTTTTTTATGTTTGGTGATGTCAGCAGAATCATACCCCAACCCTCGCAAGGCAAAGCAATTTGCGGTTGCTTACCCTTCACTGCCACATCGTAAATAACATACCCTTTCACCCCACGCCCAGAGAAACTGCTCACAATACGGAAAATACTGTCGTCACCCTTGTACACTGACGCCACTTGGGTGGTCTTGTCAAACAGAAAAGTTCGATCCGCAATAAAGTACGCAACCATTGGGAGTTGCTCGGCATCGTAGTGCAGCAGCTGGTAAAGGAGGTACGAGCCGGCATTCATCGATTTCCCAATCCCGGGCGTCCCAATCAGCACACGTCGCCCAGGCACAAAGCCGGGCTCATCGTCAGGGCTGAGGAATTCGCTTAGATCCTTTTTGACGATCTGCCACACTCGCTCCACCTCACAGTTCACATAGCAGTCATGAATGGATTCCTTCTCCTTCCATTTCCACGAGTACGGCCATCCCTTGTCCGAGGTAAGCACCATCAGCCTGAGACGTGGTGCACCGGATTGCTGTGCACCGTCATCCTTTTCGAAAGTTCTGCCAGCTGCCTTGTAAGTCCATTGCTGTTCTGGTTTCCCCTCCTCCACCTTCATTACCGTCCCCCCGCCGTCAGGAACTTCCACGACATGATGCCACCTCGCATTGTACACAGACTCGTACTCTCCCTCCAGGTATATCGGTGCGCTCGACGTCGTTGGGTTCCTCACCTCCTCAAGGGCTGCATTCAATGAGATTTTAGTGTCGTCGCGAACACATGCTTTTACCTCCTCAGCAGCTAATGACCACGCTGCTAGACTGTTGACACCATTCTCGCTAAGCCTGCGTACAACTTCTTCCAAACCCATTTCCTCCCGTACAGCCATCTCCATCTCCGCATAAGCACCTGTTGTCTGTATTTCGCCCAATACTCCCGCATCGCGGATATGACTCGTGGGATCACTGAAAAAAACCCTCAGTAAGACATTCCGATTGGCGCGCAAAATGCCTCTGCCTTCCAATTCCATCATAAGAAAATCATTCAGCTTCATGTCCTTGACGCGAACTCTTCCTCTAAATAGCACATCCCTGATCGTAGTAGTTAGGGCAAATCCTACATGTCCCTCCCGCACTGCCCTTTCTTCTGCCTCCCGCCTTTCTTCTCTCAGTAATTGAGTGAGTACTCTGTTTAGATTTCTCCTTGCAAGTGGAGTGACCGTATCCTTTCCTTCATAGTCCCTCCATTGCTCGAGAGAGAACACACCATTCTCGCAAAGACTGCGTGCAACTTCTTCCAAACCCATTTCCTCCCGTACAGCCATCTCCATCCTCAAATAAGCACCTGATGCCCGTATTTCGTTCAATACTCCCGCATCGCGGATATGACTCGTGGGATCACTGAAAAAAACCCTCAGTAAGACATTCCGATTGGCGCGCAAAATGCCTCTGCCTTCCAATTCCATCATAAGAAAATCATTCAGCTTTACGTCCATGACGCGAACTCTTCCTCTAAATAGCACATCCCTGATCGTAGTAGTTAGGGCAAATCCTACATGTCCCTCCCGCACTGCCCTTTCTTCTGCCTCCCGCCTTTCTTCTCTCAGTAATTGAGTGAGTACTCTGTTTAGATTTCTCCTTGCAAGTGGAGTGACCGTATCCTTTCCTTCATAGTCCCTCCATTGCTCGAGAGAGAACACACCATTCTCGCAAAGACTGCGTGCAACTTCTTCCAAACCCATTTCCTCCCGTACAGCCATCTCCATCCTCAAATAAGCACCTGATGCCCGTATTTCGTTCAATACTCCCGCATCGCGGATATGACTCGTGGGATCACTGAAAAAAACCCTCAGTAAGACATTCCGATTGGCGCGCAAAATGCCTCTGCCTTCCAATTCCATCATAAGAAAATCATTCAGCTTCATGTCCTTGACGCGAACTCTTCCTCTAAATAGCACATCCCTGATCGTAGTAGTTAGGGCAAATCCTACATGTCCCTCCCGCACTGCCCTTTCTTCCGCCTCACGGCTTTCTTCTCTCAGTAATTGAGTGAGTACTCTGTTTAGATTTCTCCTTGCAAGTGGAGTGACTGTGTCCTTTCCTTCATAGTCCCTCCATTGCTCGAGAGAGAACACACCCTCGTGATGAAGCTTATAAATAGCCTCCAATAGTATTTTCCTTTCCTCCAGCTCTCTTTCCAGCTCTGGGTATGACGGCGATGCCTTTATTGTGTGTAATAACCCTTTCTTTTTGATAAACGTCTCGGGATTCTGAACAAAATTCCCCATCGTGACGTTCCCATTTCTTTCCACAACCCACTCCTCGCCCAAGTTGCTCCGGAGGAAATCATTCAGCTTCATTTCGGTCCTGTTAGTGCTTCCCTCCAGCAGGATGTCCTCTACGGTGCTGCTAATGGTCCACTGTGGTCGCCGCGCCTCCTCCACTCTTATTTGTGTCGCAGCGGGTTGATCCGTGACATCCTCAGACTCCGGCCTCGCTCTCCTCTGACGATCTCCCTGCGGCACGGCAGACGCTTGATTTCCAGGCATTGTTTCCCTTTGATTTCCTGGTTGGATCGAGTTAGATCTAAACAATGGCCACCAAACAAAAAAGGGGAATGAGAAAAAGAAAGACAATAGGCACAGTCATGAATCAAAGCCACAACAAGAGACTCATCCACAGCAAGAGAGTCATCCACATAGTATTCGATAAAAACCACATGCACGAGGACCACCGCAACGACGGCGAGTGGATTTCATCCACCCAGCACAGTGTTGGTGAGAGCAAACAACAACAACGTGGTGCGCACGGAGGGTTTGCTCATGCATTCCGCTCGCTACGGTCCCGCACCCGTGTGGCACCGCCGTCACCGCACACACTCTGCAAGAGGACGTGGGCACATAAACGCTGACACACAGAAACACACACAAACAAAAGTGGGAGGATTATTCGGTGCATTAACAGCCACACGCAAGAACCCCAAATCGTAGACGCCACAACAGCGATGCATCACGGTAATCCCCCACACAACAGAAAAAGAGTGCAATTTGCACATTTT